ACACTGACCATCAAAAACAACTGCAAGAGGGAGACCGAAGTGTCCTTTGTCACAGTCACAGAATTTCGTTATGAAGACACAAAAATATTTGTATTATGTCATTCAACAAGGGTTAAAAATAGATCTCCTCCACACTCTCTCCCTGTAAATACAAAACTCACAACGGAAGGGTTATGTTTTCAATATTAGTGGAACGGGAATGAGAGTATCACAGTAATACAGTTCACTGGGTAAACTGGTGCCATTAAAACAAGTCATATTAACACTGCTGAATACCTTCCAAGCTAAAATAAAGGTCTTCTGAATCATTTTCCTCTGAAGAAACTCAAGCAGAGAAGCAGCTCACCATAAGCGTCCAATGTGATTCTGTGACTGGGAAAGAAAAAACAAGCACATGTCATCTTCAGATACATCAACAGCATATTAGTGACAAGCAGTTGAGGTGGTGGAATTACTTTTGTACATGGCACTGAAGGGGTGGATATTTGAAATTGCACAAATACTGGTATCTGCATTTTAAAAAGAATGCTGAAACCACATTTCAAATCAAATCAAATCAAATCAAATCAAATTCCCCAAAACCGAGACTTAGAGAAAGCAGAAAACAGAAGCCAACAAACTCTGAATGCTTAATTAATTAAAAACAAATGAGATAAAGACTTGAAGACAGCACAAATATTCCGTCAGAAGAAAAAGAAGATAAATACTTCAAGGTTTCCTTACTTTACCCAGGGAAAACATATGACATAGTAATAGCTATTGATTGAATTTATTACAGTCATCCAGTAAAAACTGGAAAGAATCTATGATAATCTTTAAAGCAAACCAACAAAAGGCAAAAAAAAAAAAAAAAAAAAAACCGAGGAAAAACCCCAAACAACCAAAGAAAAAAGAAAAAAAATGCCCAAAACCCACTCAAAAAATAATTTCATCTATTACACTACCAAAACAGTTATTCATCAACAGATAAGAATTCCAAATCTAATAACAAAATCCACCTGTGAATAATTCAAAAGAAATTTTAAAGAAACTATACTGCATTTTTCCATACATTTTGCTATAACTGAATGGGCTCCCAGATAGATTTTCTTATTCAGAGGGTACTTAAGCAGTAAACCAGAAGCAAATATGCAGTTATCTACAATTTCTTGAAAATAAAATATCTAACAACCAATGCACCCTACTGGCTGCATTGTAAAAGGCACACAGCATATTTCTATTATGGATATACATTAAATTAATACAGTTAATTTTAAAAGTTACTGATTCCTGTCAAGTAACCAAAAAGAATCAGCAAATATGTAAACTATTACACAGGGAAAATACAGTCTCAATCCAATTATATTTTTTCATTTACTGTCATTTAAACCATAACAATAATTAAACTATTAAACAATTAAATTAAACAATTAAATTCTGTGGTCATTTTTAACCCATTTTTGTTGTTGGACCCTTGCTAAGTAAAAAGGATTTATGGTAGTTTTGAGGATCAGTGGTTGGACCTAGTGACATGAAAGGTCTATGATTATAGCTAAATGTATACATGCAAATATTTCTACTGGAGAACAGACTATGCATTGTCTGTAGATTTAGCATTATTTGCTTCTTGCATACTTTTATAAAGATCTTAAGAAATTCCTCTTACTTCATCTTACAGTCATGTCTTAATAACTTCCTTTGGTATTTACTGGAGCTGCAGAGCTACCTTAACATTACTATTGCCTACACTTCTACTACCATTCCCAATTACCAAGCAGGGAAGCAGAGAAGGACAAAGGCTGTATATGTATTTCTGTGTGAATCTCTTAATGAGTAAAAATTTATCATGTCATTCAAGAAATTAAAACATACATTTAGACACTTTGACACTAGTTATCGGAATGTAAATCTAGACTGGTGGTACCAAATCATAGAATGACTTACAAAAACAATGGTGGCACATGACATGGCTTCCAGATAGAAAGAATACGTTTGGGATGTTAATAAAAAATGACAAACAAGTTATATCAGCCCCTCCACATCTTCCTTACAAACTCCTTTCAAAAAATTTCTTAAGATCTTCCTATTATTTCTATGTGTATACTTAACTTCCTAGCTCTGATCAGGTCGCACAAGAAACAACATGAACAAGAGGAATGTGGTGCAGATCCATGCAGATGCTGTTGGAATGCCATGGTGTGATCAACACTGACCCTGTAGCTCATTGAGAATGCACTATTAGGATATGCAAAGTAACTTACACAGGAATAGAGAAAGGCTGTATTCTTATTAGCATTCATGGGAGCTACGCAGCTCCAGTCCTGTTCTTCAAGTTTGGAATATACCCTTTTGTTATTGATGGGAAAATGTCACCAGTTACAAATGGTTACACACAGGGGTGTAGCAGGGTCAAAGCAAACTCCAATACTTTCTTTCCTCTTCTAAGGCAGAGTGCTGCTTCAGCAGTTCTTTTTTGACCTGGTGGTATACCTCTGTAGATAAAAGAAATTGTGAAATTCCCTGCTCCTGGCCTTTGCTGTAGCCTTACCATCCAAAGATTAAAAAAACCTCCAAAAGGATATTCTATTAGTGGTGTGTGATGGATCAATCATTAGACACCACTGCACGCATCCTTGCATATGAACTCTGACTTCAAGTTCCTCTACAGATCCACCCACAGCTCTGATAAGTCTCATAAAACAGTCTTTCAAAAGCATGAATAGGGTCTGAGTCATCAGTTTCCCAGCTACAGATAACTGCAGTTACATCACTTCTATTACTGCAAGCTTCCTTAAAAAACAAAACAGAACTGCTTGGTGCTGCAATTATTCCTCACCAGTTATGGTACTTCTCAATAGATGAAATCCTAAATCACTAAGTTAAAATTAATTTTCTTCGAGATCCCACAAGAAAACTTTGGGTTTATGGGAAATTAATTCAATTTCGGCATCTCAAACATTGCTCTTTCCAGAAATACAGTGGTAGAAGGTTCATTCTACCCACATTTAGCATCTCCAAAAAGACATAAAATCATTCTGGGACTCCTACAAATATGTTCACACATTTGTCATGTAATCTGACAATCCAAGCTTTGCTGGATAGCAGCTTCTGTGTGAGGCTGTATCTAAGCCTTCAGTGCCGCTGTGTTAATCAGCACAAGCTGTGCTTCTGACCCATGATAAAAATAGAAAGCTTATTTCTGAGCAGACTTTGATTGGGAAGATGCTATGAAAGAAGAAATTGTGCCTGTCTAGGAGAAACCACTGTTCACAATTAATTACACCTGAAACACTCAACAAGGAAAATGTTATGTGGGCCAAAGCATGAAGAAAATACTAGCTACTAAATGGTTTAGAAAGTGTCCAGACTTACAAGAAACTTCAGTTTGAGGAAATTCTAACTACACTAGGTATCCCCTGGGCTCTTTTCGCATGTGCAGAATAAGAAAGCCAGAAAATTAGCTTCAACAAAGTAGGCCAAACTTCCTGCAGGAACAATATAGCATTTAAATGTTAGTACTATTCCATGCTTCTTCACAAACGGCAGTGACTAACCCGAATGAAACGGCCAGCTTGTTATTTTGTGCTAACTTCTGTATCTAAGAATATTGCTACTCTTTCAGGCAAACCTCTGTGTTCTTGAGAGAAATGTACTGCTCTTGTTGATGCTATTTTGCAAGGGAGGTACCTAGACAGCCTTTGGAATACCTTTATTTTAACTGATTCATCCCTTATATACAACAGAATGCTATGTTAAAGTATATGCAGATAAATATATGAATGTGTGTAATATATTTACACAAAAATAGGCTGACATACAAGAACACAATGTACCTTCAGAGCTTGTTTTACAGTATCTGGAAATGTGGCTTCAATTAAGCTTCTGTGGGTGTGAATGTGACACTTCATAGAGCTACACAATTGTTAGCTCTTATTTTTATGTCTTCAGACTCAAGTAATCTGGTTTTCAAAAGTAAAGACATTTTAAAAACCTGTCTTTTTTAATATCAAACATGTTTCTAACCACTTTGGTTGTTTAGCAAGGCTCAAAAACAAAAGAAAAAAAAAACCCAAACCCCAACTTAAAATTATCTTAAGATCAAATTTAAACTATTTTCAAGAACCAGACCTGCAAACTCATTCATCTTCAACAAATTTTTTTCAACGTATTTAGCCCTAGAGCTGTCAGTTTTTTAAAGGAATACTCTTCTTGCTCCTGCTGTAATTCAAAACCTCCCGCTAAGGCTGTGTCAGCAAAAAGACACACTAAGTTAAATCTATTAGTTAGACTAGGACATCCACTTATTGCCTTAGCACCCCAAAAGCTGCTGACAGATCTTTAGAGCAAAAACCATTCTGCTAAAAAAGGAAAGCAGAAGTATCGACACGGTTTCATTTGTGGTACCTCTCTTGTAAAAAGATCTATCAGCGAGAGCCAGATTTCTGTACCTCTGCAGTACTAGTGCTGAGGGGACAGGTGTGAAGGAATATAAAGAAATTGCCTGGCAGCTTCTAAGGGTGCAGCAAAGCGGTAAAAGAGCCAGGCGGGACTAAGAGACACACGACGTAGAAAGGAACTGCGAACGCTAGGGGAAAACGGTCTCAGAACAACCCTCTTAATGACTCAAATACATGGCAACTTCGTACACCTGAGCAGACTGCGTTTCTCCAGAAAGAGGATCAGCACCTCTGAGCACGCGGGGGACAGGAGGGGAAGGTGGGGGCGAAGCGCTTCCTCGCCCGGCAGCGCCGGGCCCACGCTCCGGCCTCCAACGCCGAGCCGCTCAGCCACAGCGCTCTCTGGGCCAAGCCGGAGCGGCACAGGCGGTGTGGAGCGGAGCAATACGGGGCAGCGGAGCGGGGCGAAGCAGTAGCAGCGGCAGACGGTACTACAACACGCTCGCCTGCCGAGCCAGCCCCGCCGGCTCCGCACGGCCAAGCCCCGGAGCCGCCTCGCACCACCCCTGCCCCCGGGGCTGCGTGCGGCCGGCGCCTGGGCGTGGCCGCGCTGCGGACGTGGCAGCGCGGCCGCCATCGCGATGGTTTCCACGTGGAGTGGGGGCAAGTAAAGCCGCGGTCCGGGGCGGAGCGGGCCGGCCAGGCACGGCTCGGCTCGGCTCCGCTCGGCTCTCACCTCCCCCCGGCGGCGTGGCCGGCGGTTTCTAAGCCTGGAGGGAGCTGGGTGCGGGAGAGGAGGAGGGGCCGGCGTGGGGCTCCCCGCGGAGGGCGCCACGCCTTTGCCCCGTTCCACAGGGCCACCCGCGGAGCATGGCCGGCCGAGGCCCTGGCGGCGGCTCGCAGCCGTCCGCCGTGGCGCAGCCGCTCGCCGGCGGTCACTTGTACCCCTTCGTGAGCGCGGAGAGCGAGGGGCCCGAGGAGGAGGGTGAGCTGTCGGAATTGCGGCCGCGGGGCAGGGAAAAGGTCCGGCGGAGCGCATCGAGGGACAGGCTGGATGATATAGTCCTGCTGACGAAGGACGTCCGGGAAGGGGACACGCTGAACGCGATCGCGCTGCAGTTCTGCTGCTCCGTAAGTGCCCGGGCGGCGCGGGCCCCGCGCGGCTGTCCGCGGAGGCAGCGTGTGGCAAACGCCGTGTGTCTCAGAAGTGGAAAATTGCGTCAAGTGTAATTTGACGTGTCCGTGTTACAGAGTAGGGTTCCGGTTCCGTGGGCTTTTCCTCTTAAAACTAATATAAGTGTGAGAAACAAGTGCATAGTTTTGGTTGTGACACTCTCTCAGAGTGCATGCTACCTTCAAAGCTCTTCTCCAGTCACAGGTCGGCACATCTAGTAGCATCCTCGCTGTTGGGCTGGGTGACAGGGTTGTTGGTGAACTATCTGAAGGGTTTGTGTGGAGGCCTAATTCCATCAAGTAGGGGGAAAAAATCCTCCATATTTTTCTTTTGAGTTCTGCTAAATTGCCCTGGTATTTTAAGCATGAGCCTGCTCTACTTTTGGGAACTTTCCACCCCTGTGCACCTTTCTTTGTGCTCACTACTTCTAGCTCAGTTCTTACATTAGTCTGGTAAATGTCCTGCCTACCCAGTAATTTTGGCTGCCATTACTACTAAGACAATGGCATTAGTCTTAGTTGATGTTTCCAGTTTTAACAGAAAATCAGCTGTCTGTGTTGATGGGACTGCCTGCTAAGTGCACAGGTGCCATTGAGGTCAAGTTGAAAATCTGTATATACAGAATATGCTGTCATCTAATTCTTCAGGCAGAAACAGAATTGTGGACTTCCTGTTGTGACTTTAGGTATTAAAGTCTTGACATAACTATTTTCTAATCATGACGGACCTTAGCCTCATTAACCAAGTCTTGGCTTCAGAACCTACTGCATTTGGGTATTTTGAGCAGCTTTATGAGGTCAGGCCTCACTAATAAAGGAAGAATAACTAAATTGTGCTCTTTCTTGCAAATTCAAGGAAATGTGGAAGAGTGATCCTGGGACTTGAGGCAGAAAGTATAAGTTATATAAGTTGCATTGTGGTGGAATCATATATCGCTGCATTTGGCAGTCTTGTATTCTTACCCAATTTATTCTGCATCATACAGTTAACAAATACACTGCCATAGTAACTGAAGGACTTCTTCACCTTAAAAAGGTTTGTGTGAACATGGATACAGTGCATCTTCAAATGGGTATAATTCCTGTGTGCTTTGCAGGTGTTGCAGAAAAGCACTGATTTTGAAGTTCTTCATTATAGTGAAGTTTGTGGCTGTGCCTTCCACAGTGAGGGAGTTACCATCTGAAAGTGAAGCCAGTGATTATCCCAGTGCACTTAAATCCCTGCAGAATGTTTCACATTAGACTTAAAATCTGAACTTACTGCAAGCAAAATGAGATTAATTTTGAACAAAAATAGGAAAAGGGGAGAACTGACTTGGGTAAGGTAGATGACAGTAGTTTAAAAGTTAGACTTGTTTTCTGCCATTGCCCCCAGAAGCAGCAAAAAAAACACACCTGTGGCTAGATGAATTGCACACGCATATTTTGTAATCACTCCTAACTCAGAAATTTGTCACTGAATTAGAAATTAACAGTAATTTACATAATTTGAAAACTCAAAGTGAGGTGAATTCTCATTAATTTCACAGAGATAGTTGCTAACTGATAGCTGAACATACATATAATAAATGTATCTATGTGAAGTGACTTTCAGTCTTCTTATATGAAGTGAGAGGGTTTTTGCATCATAATTAATTTCCTTCTTGTTGTAAAGGTGTTTAGATTTGGTCTTTGACCTCTTCTGACTTCATACTGTATGAATGGTATAAATTTTAAAAAACCCAAATTTAATAGTAATGAAAACCAAAGGCCTTGCCTTAGACTTCAACTTAAAATCTAAACTTAATTTGAGCAAAATGATATTTTAAGCAAGAATATCATATCAATAAAAGGAGAGCTGACTAGAGTAGGGCAAAAACATAGGCCTTGTCTTTGTTTCTGTACAAAAGACTTGTATTTCTTAAAGGTGTAGTACTATTAAGAGAGGTTTGGTTCAATGGAATACAATGTTTTAGCTGTTGTTTTCATTTTTAGGTTGCAGATATCAAGAGAGTTAACAATCTTATCAACGATCAAGATTTTTTTGCCCTGAGGTCTATCAAAATTCCAGTGAAAAAGTTCAGTGTATTGACAGAAACCCATATATATCCGAAAGGAAGACCAGCTCTTCGGCCTGCTCTGTGTTCCCCAGAAGATCAGGAAACATCTCTTTGTGATAAATTCTCTGCTAATGAGACTGCTGGCAACTTCTTAAAAGAAGTCGATCGAGATATAGAAGAAATAGTGAAGTGTAATGATACAAAGAGAGAGAATCTGAATGAAGTTGTTTCTGCTTTAGCAGCCCAACAGATCTGTTTTGAAACTGATGGTAAAACTAAAAAATGTAAGGATCCTTACTATGGAGCAGACTGGGGTATAGGGTGGTGGACAGCAGTAGTGATTATGTTGATTATTGGCATCGTAACTCCAGTTTTTTATCTCCTGTATTATGAAGTTCTAGTGAAAGCAGATGTCAGTCATCATTTTCCAATGGAATCTTCCCATTTGTTTGTCACAGCAGTATCACATCAGAAAGAAACAGAAAATGGAATAAATCCAACAAATATTATGAAAGTTGATAATCAAGGAGACCTTCAGCATTAGTAGTGGAAGACCCTAGACAACTGTTGTATGTAGATACATAACATAACCTTAGGTAAAGGGGAATCCACGGAATGCAAAATGCACTTGGAATGCAGAGATGTGTATTGATGTGTGACTTGCCTTTATGGGCAGTGTTCCACTACAAGGATATTTCTGGGGATCACATAATCTCTGAATATGCCTGAGGTAGGCAGTTTGCAAGATTGGAGTGTCTATTAAGGTATGAAGTAATCTCTGAAGCTTTGCACTTTCTTCTATTTTGATAGGCATGTTTCTTAATTAATGATGAGGTGGAAAAATATAGTTCAAACTAACACACAAGGAGTCTGTGTGTTTTACAGCCCAGAAGTGGGCATATGGGGATAGCTAACTTTTAAACATCTAAAAGGATTTACAGAATTCATAGTACGCTTGACATTTTTAATACCAGGTTTACAGTTGTAAGTTAAAGTGGTGTTCTCATAATTTAATCTTTCTTATAGAGTAAGATTTTTTTAAAACTCAGTCATGCCATAATTAATAGCCACTATGAAGTTCTTTTTTACTGAGGCAGTAGAAAACACTTAAACTGCAATCTTGAAATCTTGTGCCTGTGGTCAACCCATTCTTCAGTATAGGCACTAGGGTAATTTGTTTTCTCTGTGGGATTGTGTGCCTCAACACAGTCCACTTAGGATTCCTCCTGAAACTTTACATTCTTCCTTGGTTTTCTGCTGAAAACTTACTGCATTCTCATCTGGTCACCTGTGTGTAGAATGAAAAAAGTGAAGAAGTGTGGCACCTTACTGCCCCAGTAATCCTTATTTTCTGCTAATAGATTTATCTTTTTCCCCTCCAGTTAATCTCAGTTCAGGACCAATTGATTATTCAGATAGCAGTCGTGGGTACTGAGCATGCTAATACTGGTCTTCTGCCAATGAACCTCAAGCTCTTAACTTTTTCCTGAAGTGTGCTAGAAAACTTCAACTTATATTTAATGCCTGCTAGCAAATTTGAGCAGAATAGACAACTTGGATCTTCAGACTTGTACTTTACATATTAGTGTATTCATTAACCAATCCCCTCCTAAATGTTTCTCTTGGAGTTTCATGAGCAACCGTGGTTTTCCCCTCTTTTTCTTCCCAATCTAAAAATGCTTCAAGATTAAAAAAAACCCAAAAACCCTATAAAAAACATAAATAAACCCCCCATCACCTCTGGACTCTTCATACAGAAAGGAGGTACTTGTGTACTCAGAATACTTTTAAATTAAAACTGAGATGGTGCCTATAATTATTTTGGTTATATTTGCCTTGTGGAGCAAGAATTCCATTGCCCTGTTCAAAATAGTATTTATTACCAAAACCCAAGATAACAGACTTAATTAGGACTTGAAAAGAGAGAAGTGGAAAAACAGCATCGTTGTAACTACTATTGTAACCTTTTCAGTGAATGTCTTGACTAAGTATATACAGTACTGCCGCGCTGCTGTCAGAGTGTCTCTACTCCCCCGGGCAGGGGAGGAGGTTGCTCCGGCTGAGCTGAAGGCACGGCAGCTGACAGCCGGGGTGGGGGGGGGCACTTCCCAGATGCGCCGGGGGCGTCCCGGGAGCGCCTCAGCAAGGGGCAGCAGAGAGCAGCAGGCAGGCGAAGTGGAAGAAAGAAAGGAGGGACCCTCCTCGGGGGTAAAGTCCAGAGTTTTTATTGTCTCCAGGGGAGCCAGCTGAGAAGTGACCACGAGGCACGAATACAGCAGCTTATAAAGGGGGCGGAACATACAACACATTAACCAATGAGGGAGAACTTGGGAGAGAACAAACTCGTGGGAAACATGCCGGCTAGCCAATAGGGAATGTGACAGGGAGGGACTCTTGTTCCTGATCAATCACCCAGCGAAGAGGGGAGAACTTTCTGGAAAGAGGGAAGGAGACAGTGGGTGATGGACAGGAACTTGGGGAGGGATTGACAGAAGGTAACCAGGGAAACAGGGGAGGAGACAACAAATTGACACTCTCAAAGGGAGGGGTTACCAGGGGAGGGGGAGAGGGGGATCCCACAACTGAACCACTATAACTTTAGGAGGAAACAGAACAAACCAAATGAACCCCGCAACACAACATCTCCCCCTTTTTTGTTTAAAACAAAAATAAAACTGAAATTGTTCTTAAACTGACGTAGTATCTGAAAACCATGAAGAGGATTGAGAGGCCTGCTCCCAACAGACTTCCTCACAGGTAGGTTCTTCAGGGATGGGAGCAGGGTCAGCGGGAGCCTTGACATGATTAATTTGGGGGATTGTGGCAAACAAAATTCTGGTCAGTAACTTATAGATAATGCAGAAACCGAAAACTCGGAACGAACTGAAAGCATAGGGAGGCGCGGGCGGAGCCGAGCAGATCGAATTGTGTGGGTTCTTTGCGGGCCTGTTGGAGTACTGTAAGGACCCTACGCCACAAGATTCTAGGTTCGGGACAGGCAACTGGGGCAAATTTTGGGAGTAAGGACTTTAGGGTGGGGAAAAAGGGAGGGGGAAAATCAACCCTGAATGGGATTCCCCCGAGGCAAGTCGAGAGGGGATCTGCTGCAGAGGTCATGGACAGGCACAGGTGGTCTTGTCCCATGGCCCCCGCCAAGATGCGCCAGACGTTTGCCTTGGGCTGGGGGATGATCCATGACTCCGCTGGGTGGGTCATCAACATAACTGAAATCAGGATACAGAAGAATCCGACTGAAATAAATGGAGAAAGTAAGTTAAAACAGAAGGTTCAGGTGGGGCAGGTTCAGTCGGGGGGGAACCGGACACTGGGACCGCCTTTCTTTTCTGCCGCCAAGCTCCCTCTTCCACCTGTGTGGTACTGCCGATGGTATGGGCTTTACCTGGAAGGTAGGGTTTAACCCATTTGGAGGGTCCCCACTTCAGCCCCGTGGGGGTGGACATGCAAGCATACCCATGACCCCATGTGACGAGGTCGAATGGGCCCGCCACCTTCCAGGTTTCAGGATCTTTTACCAGCACAGGGGGTTTCGCCTTCAGGTGCATATCTTTGTAGTTGTTAAAATGCCTCGCAATGGGCGGATCCAGGCACTCAAAACTGCAATTCAAAAAACTGATGGTAAACAAGGCCCTGGCGGAAGTGGAGCCATGTCAACTGGGGTGGCTAGAGCATCGGCACGCCGATTGCCCTCAGCGATGAACCCCGGGAGGTCGGTGTGTGACCTCACATGCATAACATAAAAGGGTTGCTCTCGGTGGGAAACTAGATCTATTAGTCTTGAGAGCAAATTAAGCAGAGCCGTATTGGAGACCTCCTGAAGAATTGCGCTCTCCGCTCTGGAAACGACACCGGCTACGTACGCAGAGTCGGTTACTAAGTTGAATGGTTGGGAGAACCTTTCAAAGACTCTGACAACTGTGGCCAACTCAGCAATTTGAGGTGATCCTTCAACTTTGACAATGTCTGTCTCCCACCACCGAGTTTGAGGATCCCGCCAAGTCACCACCGACTTGTGGGATGCTCCAGACGCGTCTGTGAAAACTGTCAGAGCTTTCAAAGGCTTCCGACTCTGAATGGCTTTAAGTGATAGATTAAATGGCATATCGGAATTGAGTAATTTGTGGGCCGGTTTGTGAATTGAAATTTGTCCGATGAACGAATCCAAGGCAAACTGGAGAGCCTCATTCTCCAAGAGCAAATGCTCCAACATGGCCTTAGTTAGGTGGCCCGAATTCAAATTAATAGGAATATGTATGCATGTAAAGTCGACTCTGACCAGTTCCTGGATCCGGAGGCGAGCCTTCCGGATCAGTTCAGCTACCAACTCTTGTGGCCGCGTCATCCTCTTGGACCTATGATGGCTGAGAAAAACCCACTCTATGATTGAGAGAGGGTTCCTTGAGCCTTGGTCCTTAGATGTTTTTGTGGATGGCTCCCACTGAAAAATCAACCCGTGCAGGTGTGGCAGCTTTCCCAGAATAATAAAGTTGAAAGGCAAGTTTGGGTTGTACCGATGCGCCTGCCTCTGTGACAAGATCTTTTGTACCTTTTCTAAGGCTGTGACAGCCTCCTGGGTAAGGGTCCTGGGAGAACTAAGCTCCTCTCCCTCTTTCAAAAGATTGAAAAGGGGGGCTAGATCTTCCGTAGGAATACCCAGCCAAGATCTTACCCAATTTAAAGACCCACACAGCTGGTGGACATCAGCCAAGGTTTTAATTTGGGTGTTGAAGGCCAGTTTTTGCGGAACAATGGTCCGCTTTGTAATCTCCAGGCCAAGGTACCTCCAGGGTGGCATCCTTTGAATCTTTTCTTCCAGGAGCTCGAACCCTGCAGAAGTCAACGCATCGATTGTCAGGACAAGCGCATGGGCAAGTGCGCTGTCGTTAGGAGCACACACTAAGATGTCGTCAATGTAATGTAATATAACGCAATCTTTTGCTGCCTCTCTGAGGGCGGGGGGGGGGGGCACTTCCCAGATGCGCCAGGGGTGTCCCGGGAGTGCCTCAGCAAGGGGCAGCAGAGAGCAGCAGGCAGGCGAAGTGGAAGAAAGGAGGGACTCTCCTCGGGGGTCAAATCCAGAGTTTTTATTGTCTCCAGGGGAGCCAGCCGAGAAGGTACCTCGAGGCAGGAATACAGCAGTTTATAAAGGGGGCGGAACATACAACACATTAACCAATGAGGGAGAACTTGGGAGAGAACAAACTCGTGGGAAACATGCCGGCTAGCCAATAGGGAATGTGACAGGGAGGGACTCTTGTTCCTGATCCAATCACCCACCGAAGAGGGGGAGAACTTTCTGGAAAGAGGGAAGGAGACAGTTGGGTGATGGACAGGAGGTATTCCAAAATGCTCTGAGAGATTCTGAGAGGGAAAAGTTAGGCCCCATTTATTCTTGGGGAACCTGTTTCCCCACGAAGTGGGGCAAATAGTCTTCACTGGCTTGCCAAATGTATGAACAAGAATTGGCTAACTTGTATTATATTGAAATTGAGGCAGGCCAAAGCTTGAAGGCAAATGATGTAAAGTTAGATACATGAACTATGATCTGTGACTGTTGAACCTTTTGATTAAAGGAGCATCTGTGGAGATAGTGAGCCTACTCATAGTCTCCACACTAGAAAAGGAATTATAAACAGCATGAACTTGATGGTTTGCGTAACACTTGTTTTCAAAGATCTTTTGAAATAATAGTTCTTTTCTTTCTTTAAGAGAATATGCCAGTAAGACAAACATAAACACTGAGGTAGCAGTTCTAATGCTATATGCAAAAATTCTTCACGAAATAATTTATGGTGGCTAAAGTGATACAGCTCTCATGGTTAAAACTTTAAAAAGTGACTCGGACAAAAAAGCTTTGGCACATAAAAAATGCTTTCTATATAGGATGAAACTTGGTATATAATGCATCATTTTTTTGCTGCATAATTTTATTGTTTAGCTTCTTCTCCCATCCTGTTGCTGAAAATCACCAGTTCTAATACTTTATCCTTCCATTTCTTATGGATTCATCAAAGAATATTAAATTAGCTACTGTGATGATGCAGCATAAGCCTAATACATAGCACATTGCTGTTGGTACAGAAGTGAACTGTGGTTGTGGTTCGACTAGGTGAGGAAAGTCTCTGACCTGTTGATGTATGGATACAGAGGTCTGTGGTGGTACAGCTAAAGAGTTCTCTAGTGTGTCCCAGACTTTGGGCTTATACAATGTCAAAGACCTGTGGCTTACTGGCACAGAGTTAAGGGTGATGTACCTTGATTTACCTCAGGACAAGCAGTCTTTGGAAAAACACAAAGGAGTAGCTATTTTATGGGACCATATTCCATTCTAACCAAGAACCGGGCATGTTTTTACATACGTATTATGTTGCATATTCCACACAGTACATTTTTAATAAGAGTTAACTTTATCAGAAGATACAGTAGAATTATTTTCAAGAATGTAGCACTCCTGAATCTGGTAATCTACAACCATCAGCTGGCTTGCCTTGCTGCAGAATGTGGGGATCTTTACAGCTTTTTTCTCCAAAGTACAACACAACCAGTAATTCATCATCACAGCTTGGAATAAACAGGATAGCTACTCTGTGAGGAACTTAAATCTGATTCAAGATAAAATCTGTGAAGGTAGTCTTCTAGAAACTGACTTCTTAAATAAACAAACAAAACCAAAGACAAATAAACAAACCCCAAAAGCAAACAAAAAAGAGCCAAACCCCCCACAAACATGGAATAATTTAGTTGTAAATCACCTTTTTAAATAATTGCAACATGTTGTTCAGGAAATGGGTTTGAAACTTAAGTGCATATTGCTCTGCTGGATCATATAAAATCTAAATGTTTTAAGTCTGGCATACTTCAGAATAAGTTCTCACGAATAGCCCTTTGTATAAGGGCTGAAAGTACAACTTTGTTAAATACTTCTGAGTGAGAATGCAAGTCTTATTTTAAATACTTCTGCTCCTCTGCTTTTAGAAAAACATAAGTAATATATGTAAAATAAAGATTTTATTTTAGATTGCAGTGCAAATGGTGCATCTAATATATTTTTAGTTCTATGTACTTTGCATGTTTTATTACAGCAGGCTACTACTTGTATTTGTTTAGGCCAATATTTATGTATGTTCTACTATAAAAATCCTTAGCCAGCAAGTACTTTGTTCCAATATTCATATCTAGCATACTATAATTGCAGCCTTTATGGTTTATTCTGTTCATGGCTTGTAAACTTTGAACTTTCCTGCATAAATTTTGGAGAATTTTTTGGTTCTTAGAAATAGGTATGAACAACTAACTTCTAATCACTGAAGTTCTTAGATGGTGAGATGACACTGAAAACAGTATTTTTCTTTGCTGTAAGTTAGGGTTTGAATATATGCCTGTCCAAATTTGAAGTTTGCTGAAAACTAAGTTGTAAGTTTTATTAGCATTATGGTCTTGCAATAAATTCTAAGCAATCAGAAAATCAGCTTCTAAATAGAGGTGTAAGTATTACACCTGTAGAAGAGCACAATCTCACTGCTTTTCAGAAGTGCCTTGGCACTGATCTGTGTCCTTGCAGAACTTGTTCCTAATTGATGGCCTAATTTACCATAGCTAAACTAATCCTGGAGAGTCCAGCCTAAGACTTTGCAATTCCCTCTGGAGGACAGAGGTGACTACCTCTAAACTACTAAGTTTACCTCTTAAAGGACTCAAAAAGACCTGATTTTTACAAGAGTAATATTTCTCAACAGTGCAGCAGGAAGGCAGTTGTCCATTAGAAGACTGATGAATGGAGAAAGTAATTGATCCT